TAATATTATTTATAACCATCTAATAGCTATTTATTACATTTAATAATTAGTTACGAGCAATATATTTGGATATCAACCTAATTCAGTAATTAATAATTGAAATTTTGTCCATTACGACGCGCCATAAACACTATTATTGTTGTTGTTGTATTTGACGCCAAAATCATATTTATGCTGTAACGTCATCTTTTACTATAAATATAAACAAAGTTTATTTATTTATTTAAAATATTTAACAAACAAATGGAAGAAAACAATAATAATATTGACATTATAGAAGCAGAGACACCTGAGAACTCCAAAACAATATTAATTGTTGATAATGGATGTGAAATTAACCAAATAAAATATAGCTCTAATTCCAAATACTTTGTTACACATAATGCAATAGATAAATCTATCATTGGATGGTCAGTTGGTATTGATGAAAAAACAATTGAACAAGACAAATATTTGAAATATTCTAAAAATGGTTTTTTAGAAGATTCAGACAAATTTATTGGTATAACTGTAGACAATGATGAAGTTGATTTTGGTGAGAAACAAGATCCAAGTTCAAATGAATCTATTGATATAACTATAGAAGATGTATCTGATGATAAATGTATACTTTTATGTAATCATTCTGAAAATAAATCTTATTATAGTAAGTGATTATTAATTAATAAATATATTTTTATTGATATGTAATAAATTATAATATATAAAAATTTTTTTTATAGAACTTCTTGACTTTTCAAAAAAAAATGTAAATTATTTTGAAATTCAGATCAGCCACAAAATAAATATAACTTTTGACCAAGGATTTTTCTTTGGAAATAATAAACTAATAATGGGCAAAATGGAGAAGGATTATTATAATTTGCATCTATTTACATATGATAGTAACAGTAAAAACAATCCAATAGTTCATAAAGCAACACATAAACTTTATAATATTCATAATCCTGATTTTTTTTCCACTCCTGATAATAATCTTCTAATTGCTAGCAATGGTATATTACTCTCAGAATGGAAATTACAATGGAATGATGGAACTTTTTTGCGTAAAAAAAATCATTACTTTCTACTTAGATATGATAATGTTTATTTTAACAAAAATAACTTGCTAATGGTGACATATAATAAATCTGATTCAAAACTATTAGTTTATTCATTAAAAGATGATGTTATTATTACATCATGTAAGTGTTTATAATTTAATTAACTTAAAATAATATGATTTTATAACTGAAATTTTATAATTTGTATATAGCTAAACTAGAAGAAAACATTGACATTAAAAAATTGGATTTTTATACAAAAGATCAGTTAGAATTTTTATTAGTAATCTATTCTAAACACAACACAAAAAATTATCAGTGTCAATTGATGGATCCTTATAATCTTGACAATGTTAATGATGTTACAAAATATTTTAATGAAAATATTATAGAAAATACAACAGAAGATATTCTATTTGGAAGAGTTCTACTAGATAATAAAATAACTATGATAATTAAAGATCAATTATTAACCAAGGAATTTATTAATGAAGAAAAATTAGAAAAATTAAAAAAGCATAGAGAACAAATACAAAAATCACCTAAAACAACTGTAAAAAAATCTTTGCTTAGAAATCTAATATTACCTTTAAAAACTCTTTATAGAAATTCAAGATTATTTGGAACATCAGAATGTATACTTGTAAAAGGAAAAGACACACAATGGTTAATAGAATATAATGAGAAATTTAAAAATACTAAAATAAAGATACCAAAATTTTACAATAAACCAAGAAAAAATTTAATCACAATTGATGATGAAACATTTGAAGATTATGAATTGTTATATGATGATGATTTAATTTTATTAACAAAAAAATTTAAAGACAGATTCAGATCCAAAGGCATTTATATTTTATCATTTAATAAACAAAATAAAATATATACAAAATATGCAGGATATGTTACTAATACAGATAACAAGAAACTTATTAAAAAGATTAAACAAGTTTTTAATAACATTGGTGATTCATACATTGATAAAGAACAACTTAGGGGAAAAACATTTGGGGAAATGATACCATATATGTTAGAGGATCTTTATTATTTTAGCAGACATGGGGATAAAGTTTTAAAATTTGCATTAAGAAATAATGACATTATTATAGTGGAACAAATCTTTGATTCATGTCTCAATTGGTTTAAAAAAGAAGCTTCATCAAATCACAGTTTATTAAAAATAATTATTTCAAATTTATCAGAATTACAAAAAAAAAAATATCAACATTTATTGTCAAAATTTTTCATTCAAACATCAATGTTATTAGATCCATCTTGTAATTCTATTACAATCTCTGAAATTCCTTCTACTGAGATTTTTCAACTAGAAATTGATAAAAAAAAAAAGAAGGAAAGTTTCTGGCAGCACATAATGATGTTATTTTTTAGAGTTGTGCTTATTATTATTGTTATTAGTGAAATTTGGCAACCTTTTAGTTATGATTATGATGATCCTGATATGAATATATATTTATTTACTTTCTTGACATTTCGACATATTTTAATACCTATATTGGCTTTTATTTTTTTTGTTAATAAGTCTCATGATAATGCATCCCAACCTAGTGTAAGACTATTAGTTCCATTTCCAAAATACAAGTCAGATATTTTAGAATTATGCAAGCATCAGAATGGTCAAGTCATCTTAGATTTCAAATGGAATGCTTATGGATTTATATATCATGTTGGATTTTTGACCTTTTATATGGCATTTTTATCAAGTTTTGGTATTTCATCTACTCTTCAATTCAATAGAACCACTAATGATAATGGTGGAATTAAACCATCATTATATATTACAATTGTTTTTGGTGCAATTCATCTTATTCTTGAAATAGTACGAGTTATACAATCTTTGCGTATGAAAGGAAAATTTTTTTTATATGTTGATTTTTGGTTTTTATTAGGTAAGCTGTGATTTGGATATTTTATAATGATAAATATTATTATTAAAATAAATACTAATCTATTGATCCTATTTATTAGATCTTGGTGCCTATTTGTTACCAGTTATCACTTCAGCTTCTTGGTTACTTAACAATCATCCACCATCTACTTGGGCCATTTCACTTACCAATTTGTTACTGGATTTAAAATTCATGTTGTTTCTAAGATGTTTTAGCTACTTTGGAGCATATTTTGCAATAATTTTAGGTGTTGCAAGAAAAGTATTTTCATTTTTAGTGATTCTATTCATAATTATTGTAAGCTTTGCACATGCATTCTACATAATTTTAACACCACAACAACAATATTCATTTGATGTGCCCACAATAAATAATGATTCAAATAATCCTTGGAAACTTACTGACATGTATAAATTTATTTATACTGATGGTGATTCATATACATATAATGATACTTCATATATTGTGCGACAACCTGATGGCAATACAAATCCATTTACAACTTTCCCTCTTTCAATGTTAGCAATATATAATTTTCTTGCAGGTAACTTATTTTTTTAAGAAATATTCTCATTAAAATTATTATATTATTATTATATTAATATTAATATATATTAATATTTCAATAGGTGATAAAAATGCATTTGAACCTTGGGAATTACAAAATGATCTCTATCTGGCAATCTTAGTTGTATTATTTTCATTTTTAATTATGGTATACCTAATGAATTTATTCATTGGTTTGCTTAGTAATGAAATACAAAATCATGACACAGAAGAAGCCTTTTATACTCAAAAAGCTAAAGTATGTTTATTATTAATAGTATAATTTTACTTTTTCTTCTATGAATTAATATTGAATTATCATTAATTTTAGGTCATAACAAGTGTTGAATTACTATTTAATAAACGTCAACAATTGCATCTATATTTCATGTAAAAATTATAAATACCAATTAATTTTTGTCAAATATTTTTTTATTCAATTAATTCTAACATAGCTAACTTATTAATTTATTTATTTTTATTAGAACTTACTATGTACCAGTTGAAGATATTCGAAAAAAAATAAGAGAGGTAGATAATAGTGAAGAAGATCCTGAGTATTTACCTTATATTTCTGATGAACTTAGAAAACTTGTGGGTATGCCTAAACCTGAAAATGATCTTAAGAATGATGATGTTTTTAAGAAGGAAATTAAAAGTGAACTTAAGGATGACCTTAAGGAAATTGAAAGTGAACTTAAGAATGACCTTAAGGAAATTGAGTTGATTTTCGTTTAACACGTGGATTATCGTTATCAACGTTAATAATATCTTGAAAATTATCATCATCATTATTATTAACAACACCAGATTTCCTTTTTTTCCCACGGGTACTTGTAGTAACTTTTGCTTTGGTAGCTTTTGATTTTGTTGTTGTTGTTGTTGTTGTTGTTGTTGTTCCTTGATTAGTAAAATCTAGTGAACTTGATAGCGAGGTGATTGAGTTGATGGAGGAAGAGAATGTTTGATCCATAAAATAATCTTCGATGTTTGTTTGGTGCGAATCCTCGGCAGGTTTATTTGAATCCTTTAAATCAGTAAATTAATGATTAAGAATGAATTGATATTATATATATATATATATATATATTGAATAATAATAATGATATTTTTTTTACCCCTGATAATAATTTTTCTAAATATTCATCTTCTATAAATAACCTATCTAATATTTGACATTCTTGTTGTGCCTTAACATTAATATATAAACAAAAAGAAACAATAGTGTAATAACTATAAATAAACAAATGTAATATAAAATTTTTTCGTTTATAAAGTCCTTAATCATTCATTATTTAAATTGATTGATCGAGCTATGTTTTTAGTAAGATCTCAACAAAGAATTGAAAAGGAAAGAAATGTCTAAAATCATCAAGAAATTTGCACAGGCAAAACTCTTACAGAAAGGGCTCTACTCCACTAATGTCTACTGTGAACCGTCGTACAATTCGCGGGATTGTAAAGGTTGGAGCATACTAATACCATTCGTACTTTGCGTGTGTATATGCGATTACTACTTGGATTACAACGTGCTCGATCTGTTGCTTTAACAGAAGATGTAAGGCTAATTCCTATCATCATTATTATAATAAATTGATTATTTTATTTATTTAAAAAAAAAATTTTAACTTTATAGGATGATATTGTTGTGATGCAAAATACAAAATATGGTATTATTATACATGTGAATTTGTAATTTAATCTATATTAGTTTTTTAATATATTACATTCCTAATATTATTCTTATTCTTACCTTCAAAGAGTCACAAGACCCCTCTCTACTTATAACTTATAGACGTATAGCAATTAAAGACAGTACAGTAACTGCTATATGCTACGGGGCTAAATTAACGTGCCACATTTACTTTGTTATGAAGAAGTGGTTCTAATGGTGAAGCTATTGTATTTGGCATACAAATCAATTAATTCATAACCAGAAATTCGTTTACACACACCAACTCAATTACTGGATAAATCTGTTTATCGTAGTCCTAAAAACATAATAGTGTTAAAGACGATGGGTACAAACTAGTGTTCATGCTATTTCAGAAAAAAGGCATAGTTGTTATGAAAAAAATTGGATGATGTATTTGTTGATCAATTGCTCATTTTGATTTTGGTATAATGATTTATTTTTAATGTATATTCAGCTTTTTATTTTATTTTGTAGACATGAGTGAAAATCAAAAACCTAAAAAATGATTGTTAGTATTTAGACAAATAATAAAAATAGTAGTGATGTGCAAAGGAAGCCAGTTATGTTTAAACTGATACGTTCTAACCAAATTT